TCGCTCATGACATCATTGAGGTGCTCAAGCTCCAGCGCCCCGACAAGGCGGTGATCCTTTGCTGGAGGGAATCCTATGTACTGTCTATTATTATAATGGTTTGATATTGTGTCTATTTTTAAAAATAAAAATGAACTGCATCTTCATAAAATTACATTCTCCAGTATTCTTCAGGAAAAACCAATGCATTTGAACCAATCTCATGCACGTTGCACTATATGATATATAATTATGCACCCATAACCCTAGGATATCATTGTGATCAGAAGATGTCACTGCCTTTGCTGATTACTATCTTTTAACTTATTTTAATGGATATAAAAAGGAGGAAAAACCTCCCTAGTCTTCTTGCCCAGTCTTGTCTTCCACTCCTAAGCTAATATATATTTAGGAAATTCTCCTCTTGTCTGTTTTGGGCTCAGCTTTTTTATTAAGATACATTCGATTTCTCTGCCATTGCTAGTGTTGTGTTAGGTCACTGCCTAGGCAACCAGGGTAGCAAGACCAAACATATGCCACTTAATTCAAAGGAAGGTCTTGGAGAATGAAAGCTTGGCTTCTGTTTCAGTTACAGAAAACGAGAGGACTGGGGAGGGGTCATTACATAATGTGGCTTTTGTTTGTTTTGGTGTGTATCTACACCAGACATAGACAGACTTCAGCCCTCTAGGTGTTTTGGACTTCAACTTCCACAATTCCTACCAACTGGTAAGCTGGCTGGGATTTCTGGGAGTTGAAGTCCAAAACACCTGGAGGGCTGAAGTTTGCCTATGCCTGACCTACACAGTAGAATTAATACAGTTTGGTACAACTTTAACTCCCCTGGCTCAGTGTGATGGAATCATGGATGTTGTAGTTTAGATCCTCGGCATCTTCTTACTAAAATTACTGTCCAGTTGCATTGTCAGTCATTCCATATATTCATTTACATCTAATTATGCTCCAGTAGAAAAAGCTTGCTCGAAGAGCCAGGTCTTAACCATTTGGCGGAATGTTAGAAGGGAGGGAGCCATCAGTCAATATTTTGGATTTCATCTCTTTGCGATGATTATTCTGTTAAAAGGGTACTGTGCAGACATAGAGCTAAGTATATAACCAATGCTTCTGCTGTTTGGTTGACGGTGATTTTTCTTTTTTTGGTTTTATCTTCTCTAGTTGTATTGATTTATTGTTACTGTTTATTGTCATGAATATTTTTAAGTTGCCTGTACTCTTCCTTGGAACCAACATGATTGAATGTTGGACTAGCGCCCTGGAATACCAGGGTTCAAATCAAACCAATGTCTCATCTTTCACCTCAGAGGAAGGGAGTGGTAACTCCCCTTATAACATCTTTCTAGGACCACCTCCCTGCTTTTGATAATTTTGCCTTAGGGTGAACATAAGTAGAAAAGGACTTGAAGGCACACAGCAGAAGCAAAATACCCATCTTTCATTGTAGTTGCCCCTATGGCCAAAAGCCTCTTCAGAGAGTGAGATGAGATATGAGGAATGCTGCCCCAAATCAAGCAGGGGCTGGTTAAAATTTGTGTGATTTTTCTGTATCTTTAAAGCCCCATATTGTTCAGAAGGGGTCCCTCTACCTTCTAGAGAAACCTTACAGGACACTGCAAGAGGTTAAAGGTTGGGAAGAAAAATAGTAAACTGTCCTTCTCTAAAGATTTGTAGAGTTCGCTTATTTTAGAAATTACACCAGTATTCCTGTCTTATGCACTAGTTGTATCTTGTGTTTACCTTAATTGTAAGGTGTTTTAGTTCCCCTTTCAGGAGAAAGGTGAGTTATACAATAAATAAATAGTATCGTTTTCGCATTGTTGTTGTCGATTGGCGGTGATGTTCATCTTGCTCTGGGAATTGTGGTTTAGTGAGGCCCAGGACTTCTCTGGGCGAGAGTTGTAAAGTTCCCTCTCTAAAATACAAACTCCAGAATTCTGCAGAAAGTAGCCACAGGATTTAAAGAAGAATACACACGTTTCACCTATGCTTTAATTGTAGTGTTATGAGACACTTAATATAATAATCTACTGCTAAAATGAAACGGGTTGTGGAAAATACTGTAATGTTCTTCCAAGGATGCTGGCTTTCAAGCCTGTTGATGTAAGTGTGGTGACGAATGTCCATGCTGGCATTTCCTTTTGTTCCCAAGATAGGGGTCAACCCAACCAGTATTGATCTAGTGGATGTTGGCAAAGACCAGGAAATTAAACTGAAGCCAGGACAAGTTCTCCATCTCGTCAATAAATTCTACCCATACACTATCCAGTTCTCAGAAGAGATGGGAACATGTCTTGGTCGGGAAGCAGCAGAAGTGAAAGGTGTGAAGAGGCCACAAGAGGAGTCCGAAAATAGCAATGTGGAAAGCAATTCCTCAGGAAAACAAGCCAAAATGGAGCAACAAGGCTGTGGCTCATGTTCCAAGATAAACAATGACAATAGTTCTGTTTCATCTAATGAAAACATTTCTAGCAAAAAGGTGAGCTTATCAGTGGCAATAGATTTTTTAGTATAGGATGCAACAGCTCCTGTAGCACAGTTATGGAAGCGTTGTGGGAAGGATCTAGGGTGATAAGCAGTAAAGAAGGTAATCTAGTGTGGATTTATTTTGTTACCAAACGGTGGATCTAGATGTTATTTTTGGTGGCATTTCCTTTAACAGAAAACCCTCCTTCCTTTCTGTTTAGTATCTGATCCTGCCAGGTTTCTGCTCCCCTACCCTCTAATTCCCTTTCTAAATTTGTTCTGGAGAATGGGTCAGTCCCCTAGAGAAAGTTTTGGGGGATGTGCAGGGGGCTGGAGGGAGAGGAGGTGGAATTGTCTCCTCCCCGTTATTCTGAGACAGCAGGGATTAATGGATCGCAATACTGTTATGTGTGAAGTGTATACATGCCCTGGACACCTCTTGATTGGGAAACTGTAAAGAGAAATGTTAGCAAGAATTGTGATGTCTGCTTCAAAGGGGGGTACATAGAATAGGTGGGAAAGCTTGGAGAGTGCTTCTTGGGTCGTTAGCATTTTGAATCTAATCATTAATTAGGGCAAGTCTCCATCCAAATTGCTGATATTTTTCCATGAAGGACATGTTTCTAATACTGTTTATTTCCCGGAATGATTTCAGAGTAACAGATATGATGAAATTAGGTCTATTTTCCAAAGGAGAGCTTTAGGTGTCTCCTAAAATTGTTTTGACTATTCTTGCAGTGTGGCCTAGCTATTTTAAATCCAGTTCTTAAGGAAATATGTCTTGCTTAACTCATTGGAACTTATTTTAAATTTTGAAGAAATATTCCCATAGGATTTAGTTCTCTTGTTTGCTCTTCAGGAATATTCAGAATACTGGGCTCAAGGTCTGAAGGCTTCCATGAAAAATCCTAATATGCAGGTAAGGGTTTCATGTTTACTTTGACTGAAACTTTAAATACAGACAGTCCCCAGGTTATAGACAAGATAGGTTCTGTAGGTTTGTTCTTAAGTTGAATTTGTATGTAAGTCAGAACATGTACATTTTAAAGTGTAACTCCATCCATATATATGTATATGTTTATATATTTTGGCTAGCATAGGGATGGGGTTAATACCACAGTGACATTTGCTTTGTGTATTCCCTGGTTCAGAAGATTTCATCTCACTTTCTATCCCTGTGATGATTGGATTTTGGAAAAATGGGCTTGTTATGGAAACAAGGATTGGAGATAAAGGTCCAGTGGTGTCACCTTTTCCCCATGATAATTCTTCCAAGAGTGAACTTCCCTTCCTAGGGGTAGATTAGCTCTCACTTCCTGTTGTCTTACTCCCATTCTTAACTGAATCAGATGTAAGTCAGATGTTTGTAACTCGGGGACTGCCTGCATGAGGATTACTGCTCTATATGATAATAAAATTAACTTTGGTCTGCAATGTAGACATGGATTTCTTTGTCTCTCTCCTAGGTGTACAAGGATGAAAAGGCAGTTGTTATAAAGGATAAATATCCAAAGGCTCGTTTTCACTGGCTAGTGCTACCATGGCATTCCATCCCTACCTTAAGTGCCGTAACTCAGGAGCACCTTGAACTCTTGGAACACATGCACACTGTTGGAGAAAAGATAATCGAGCAGTGTCCTGAGAAAGATCAGCTGCGCTTTAGACTGGGCTACCATGCTATTCCTAGCATGAGGTAATGTATAATTGTGTTCAGATTGAGTTTGTGCCATGTGGAACATAGACATTTGCCCCAGTAGGAACTGTAAAGATAATTCTTGTGATTGATCGGTCCTAGTCTGTGTTGGAATTCAACACAGTCCTCAATGAGGAACAGTTTAGTTAGCTTAGTATAAACTAAGGCAGGGGTCCTCAAACTAAGGCCCGAGGGCCAAATACTGCCCTCCAAGGTCATTGACCCTCGCTCAAGGTCAACCTAAGTCTGAAACAACTAGAAAGTACACAACAACAACAATCCTATCTCATCAGTCAAGAGCCAGGCCCACACTTCCCATTGAAATACTAATAAGTTTATATTTGTCAAAATTGTTCTTCATTTAATTATTGTATTGTTTTTAAGTGGGTTTTTTTGCACTGCAAATAAGATATGTGCAGTGTGCATAGGAATTCATTCATGCTTTTTTCAAATTATAATCTGGCCCTCCAACAATTTGAGAGGCTATGACTGGCCCACGGTTTAAAAAGTTTGAGGACCCCTGGACTAAGGGTTTCCCTTACACCATGTCTCTTGAATGACAGTCGGGAATCTATTTATTTCCTCTCTCATCTCATTCTGATTGGTTGTTTAAAATGGATACTTTTCTACTGCAAGTCTTTTTGAATTTGACTTCTGCCTTCTCACACTTTATTATGGAGAGTATGTGCTGTGTGCTTTGAGATCTCTCTCTGCTTATGTCTCAAGAAAAATGTAGTGATTGGTGTTTTTTTCCCTCCCTTTGAAGCCTTAGAAGAGATGGGTGTTAGAGTAGTTCAGACCCAGTTCTTGTTTATTAAGAAATGCAGTTATTCTTATTATTGTAAATAAACCTTTTGTGATTTTTTAAGATTGAACTCTGCATGTTTGCCTCCTAAGCTCCGAATTCTTTACAGCCACATCACATGGCACTTCACGCTCTGCTAGCTAATGAGCTGATGCTCAACTTTTTGTATCCTGTTTGATTTTTGGATGCTCTGCTATATTTTAGGATAGTTTTCCCTAACAGTCTGCTTCTGCCAAAAGCTCACCAATCAGCTCCTACTCGTTGTGCCACAAAGAGCTGGTTGGTGGCTCCATTACTGTGGAGTGATGAATTTTCCCTTGGTTTTAATGTTGGCTTTTCCACAGCTGTCCTGGGGTGAATAGAAACTGCCTTAGAGCAGAACAGTCCTGGCAAGGATGGCTCTTTTATTGTCCCACTTCAGCTGCTCCAGATTGTTCAAGATCTGTCCAGTGATCAGTCTGTGTTTGGAATGAGGTTCATGAAAGCTCCAGTACAACCTGAACCAGTTGTTGCGGAGCTGCTCATAAAACTAAGGGTGATTTCCTCTCTTGACAGTGAAGGACCCAACAACTTCCTGGGTGTTTTGGCTGCCTTTAACATTTTGTATTTTGTCCCTTGATCACCAGGTGGTCAATTTGTAGTTGTCTAGACATAGCTGGAGTTCTACACCATTACTCCTGAACAACATAGCTGATGGTGAGGAATGGGGAGATTTGCATCTTAACATGTAGAGAGCCACAGATAGCATACTCCTCCTATCTAGTAAGACAATACAATAGTTCTGTGTTTTTTCTCTCTTCTCAGCCACCTCCATCTTCATGTTATCAGCCAGGATTTTGATTCTGAATGCTTCAAAACCAAGAAGCACTGGAATTCCTTTACCACAGAATACTTCATAGATTCCAAAGGTTAGGACATAAAGTTACACATAACCCTTTTTTTCCTTTTGATTTTTGTCCCCCCCCCCCCCCACCACCACCACCACCACATGGTGACAGCATTCTAATCTTAAGTTTGCATTAGCCACATGCTTTTCATGTTGAGAGAGCCATTTTTCTGACAGTCCCTTTATGGTACTAATACCAAGGTGGGATAAAGTAACTGGGGGATAGTAAGTGGGGGGACAGTTTAGATGGCATACTCCCCTCATTTTGGATATGAACACTGTGACCTAACTAACTAAATATGCTGCTACTGTGATATATAGTTTTATCTGGTTTTATATAATTTTTCTAGAACAGAGTTAGATTGTCCCTTCAGTATAAATTTGGGTAAGAGTATGTTTCTGCACTACTGTATATTTGGGGCACATTGCTCAAGAGCACAATTTTTTAAAATATATTGCTACTGGTAAAAGGAACTGTTTGGTAATAAGCACAAGAGATTTCATTTCTTACCATGCACATTGGGGGAGAACAGTTTCTCTGTGCTAGCATTTGGCAAATCAACTTTCAGATATTTTTGGCTTATAGTCCCTATCTGACCCAATCACCAAAGTCACTGGTGATGGATTGTGGGAATTTCAGTCCTAAACCAACACTCTGTCTTAAGGTAATGTTTTGACATCTTTCAAAGGAATGACTATTGCTGAACTTTAATCTGAAGTCTCCTTCTCCCCATTCCCATTCAGATGTAATTAAGATGGTGAAGACGAAAAGAAGAGTAATTGTAGATAAGAATGCATCCGCACTCTTGAAACTACCTCTGAAGTGTCATGTATGCAAACAACAGCTTCCAACTATCCCTCAGTTAAAGGAACATCTTAAGGAACATTGGCCAAAATGATCTGTCCTAATCTATTCCTTTGTTCAAACATTAACCTTATTACACTGTCTTATTAAATACACCAAAATGTGAGTGTTGCTATAACATCCAGCTTAGTGTGACAAACTGCAGGTGGTTGTTTTTCAGGTGGACATAGGCAGGGTGAGTGTAGAAGGACTTATTGTGCAAGAGGCAATGCTTTATCTTTTGCATCTGTAAACCTTCACCTCTAACACTCTGGTGTACTGTTGGCATAAATAAGCCATTTCATATTTAGTGGGCTAACTGAAATGCAGTCTGGGTTTAAATTTGTCCATTTGGCATTCTCTGTTTATTTTTGGTTACCCAATAGCAAGTTGGTATTCGATTTGCTGCATGTATTTGCAGGAGTAAACAGATTGTATTTTGCCTGAAATCTGTCAGATTGAAATATTAGTATTAGAAATATTTAGTATCCCCTTCTGCAATTCAGATTTGATCCGTGGCTTTATTTCTGTACCTGTTTCAAAGCAGCCACTATGAATGTGAGACACATAATGATTTCTGACTTAAGATCTTGGCTAAAGCTTGGATGCCAGTTCATATCCTACACCTATCGTACTTGGTGTGAGTTTGTGCTGAATAAATGGTAATGGGGTGTCTGAGTGGGGCCTCTTGAATGCTATTTAAATTTTATCATCATAGGTTATTGGGTGCTGTTTTGAGTTTAAACTTTGTTTTATATGTTATTGGTTTTATCTTGTATTGTGTGTTTATTTTATGTGTTATTTTAGGCACATTCTGCCATATGTAAGCTGCCCCAAGCCCCTTCAGGGAGATGGAGGAGGGGTACAAAAATAAAGTTATTTAAATAAAGTTATTCTTCCACGGAAGTTCAAGATGCCACAGAAAAGTGCTCTCTGTTTTATCCTCACAACAATCTTGCCTCGTGGCTAAGTCGGATAACAAAAGGCCTTGCTTCACTCAGGCAAATAGGAATTGTTAAATCGTTTCGTGCGTGAATACATTCCTAAATCCCAGTCAGAGTATCTCTGTTATGTAAGTTATGTGATACTATGTACATTTATCCCAAAAGTAAAGTCTACTGGAATCAAATGATTTGACATCCTTCTGGATAGACATTCATAAAGTACTGTTAGCCATCAGTCCTGTTTATACATACGAAGCTTTGTGTCCCTGAAATGTACTCAACATTAGAATGCAAGACTAGAACAGAGAATATGACATATAAATGCTTCCTGGAACTGAAAGTGTCTAACGCAGTAGGTGAAATAACAACAAACAGAAGATAAGCAGATGGCTCTTTGGAAACATGGGGGTTGCACAGCTGGGAGTCACCACAGAGGAGACTTTCTTATACATCACAGCCAGGATGCATAAAAGAGATTTCCCAGTTGATCTCAAAGGGCAAGTAGGATTATAAAGGGCTGTAACCAATAGTGCTGTTGATTCACCTGAGCCAAGGGACCAACCCACTCAACAACAAGGCTGCTCTGTGTTGCCATTGCTGAAGGAACTTCCATGCATAGTACATTATCTCAAGGTGACTACAGTATGTGCCAATAGCATGGCTAGATCTACTTCCTCTCAAAAGTGGCATAACTGGCACATGAGCCAAAAAGGAGAAAGAGTACTTCTGCCCACAGCTGTCACCTGAACATTGAGAAGAAGAGCCGAACCTCAAGAGTTGTCTGAAGTGGAAAACTTGATTTGGTGGAACCTTATGGAACCTTCAGCTTCCAACAGGCCAATTCCCATTCTTCCTGTCTAGGAGCCTTTTCATCTTGTGGTGATTGAGCTTAATTTTATTATTCACACTCAGACTTTCACTCACCTCAGGCACCAGCTTAGCATTTCCACTACCCTCCTTGGAAGAAAGACAGCAGAGAGCTGATTTAGCACGATCAAATCAATTACATTAAACACCCCTGCTCCTTACCTCCCAGTACTTTTATGTAGATGTTGAAAAACAAGATGAGAAGCAACTCTTCAAGCCACCATAAGCCCATTTAACCATAAGAAGACTACTTGACAACAACATGGCTTATCAAATCTATCTTCCCAACCAATGTGTCAAAAGCATAATGTGAGACATCTCCAAGTCTTGTGCTGAATATCATAGATCTTTCTAGACTGTAAATAGATACTACATTCTTTCTCCCTTCTCTCTCCTCCCTTGCTGGAATCCTGCAACACATGAAGTTCTCAGCTGGCATTGAATTTAACACCTGGTGTTGAAATTGCACTCCAATACAATTTGTTGTGGGTGAATCCATCACCTTTCATTATATAAATTATGTCTGACTCCTGGTCCTAGGTCTAATTACATGGAGCATGATAGAGGAATTGTTAGAGGCCCAATGGGTTTACTGTAGCTGGCACTGGCAATGGAATTTTGGTCAATATTGGCAATCCTCAAATAAGCTTTTGATACTCCTCTTCCCCATAAACCCTGTTACCGAATTTACCTGCTACACTTCTGGAAAGAGAGCAAAGGTACTTAAGGATGGAGGAAAGCTGACCTTTTGAGACACAGTTTTAAAATGTATTACTAAGGATAATCCACAGCATCACTTAATAGGCCAGAAAACAATCCGGTAACTACCAGATATTGTTTGCTTTGATACTTGAGTTCACAGCATGCATCTAATTCATACTCAGTAATTTAAATTTCAGCCTAGGAGAGCCCCAGAAAGTACAGTTTTCTTGTGACTAGCCATTTTCTGCCTAGGGCTGCATCATAGATGATGTCACAGTATAGAGCCTTTGTTTTCTGAAGGTTCTGATATTTCCTGCCATTTGACCTAGTGATCAGTATACAGAGATGGGATTTAAATGAGGACCTGGAGAGAAAATGTCGGTAAGAGGGAATACAAGTTTTGGATCTGTGCCATCAAAGAAAAGAACAGTATTCAAGCCCAGCAGCAAACACAGAGAGGAGAAAGATTCAGCTCCAAGAAGGATAGTGAAAGAAACCAGAGCAGTTGTCATAGATATTGGTACTGGCTCTTGCAAATGTGGGTTTGCAGGAGAACCAAAGCCAACCCATGTGGTTTCATCTACTGTAGGTAAGCATCTCCAGGAGACTGCAAAAACAGGTGATAATAGGAAAGAAACCTTTGTTGGCAGAGAACTTGCAGATGCAACAATACCCCTGAAGCTTGTCAACCCTTTGGTACATGGAATCATAGTGGACTGGGATACCATTCAGGACATATGGGAATATCTTTTCCATGAGGAAATGAAAATTCGGCCTGAGGAACATGCAGTTTTAATATCGGATCCTCCGCTGAGTCCGACCACCAACAGAGAAAAGTATGCAGAAATGCTCTTTGAAACCTTTAACACCCCAGCCATGCACATTGCTTACCAGTCTAGATTGTCGATGTATTCCTATGGAAAGACATCTGGCCTTGTCGTGGAGAGTGGCCATGGTGTTTCTTATGTGGTTCCCATTTATGAAGGCTATACTTTGCCTAACATTACTGAAAGGGTGGATTATGCTGGGTCGAATGTCACTCAGCAATTGATGAATCTCTTAAACCATTCTGTGAAAATGTTCACGGAGAAGGATTGGCGTGTCTTGGAAGATATCAAAGAGAACTATTGCTTCACTTCACTGGATTATCCACAGGATGCAGCTGCACCTTCTAGGAAGCATGAGATTGAATATGAACTTCCTGATGGGCAAACCATCATTATTGGCAAAGAAAGATTTGCATGTACGGAAATACTCTTCAAGCCCTCCATGGTAAACTCCCAACAGCTGGGGCTTCCTCTCCTGACCATGACGTCTCTGAATAAATGTGATGTTGCCCTCAAAAAGAACCTGATGGGCAACATCCTGTTGTGTGGGGGCTGCACCATGATCAAGGGCTTTGCTGACCGCTTCCAGAGAGAGCTTGTTCGAATGTGTCCAAATGATAATCCCATTTCATCGGCTTCCCCTGAAAGGAAAACGTCAGTATGGACTGGAGGCTCCATCCTGGCATCCCTCAAAGCATTCCAACAGCTCTGGGTTCACAGGAGAGAATATGAAGAGCGGGGCCCTTTTTACATTTACAGGAAATGTTTCTGAGCTCCTAATATATCTTGAGTCTGTTCCTTGCAGCCAAAACCTGCTTAACTAGAGCTGGAATAATCTGAGAAGGCTCACACTTTCTTTTTCAGCTTTACCTACCAAAATATAACTTGGTCTGTGAACACTAGTAATGGTTTCCTTGCTGTTCTCCCGCTATTAAAAGTTCCTTGTTGTAGTTGCACAGTATTAGCAAAGTGGTTTTCCATTTTTTTATGTAAGTGGCATCGAGTACAGGTGTGTATGGGTAAGGCCTTTTTTATCAGGTTATCCTTTATAAATGCTTCTCATGGACTAACTCCCATATATATAGCTGACATTTCAAAGGACATGAAAGGTGCTCTCTTACTCTGCTTTCTGTGTATATATATTATACACATACAGCAGAGTTTCAGAAGTGTTATTTTTAGTTACCAAAAACATCTACTCTCCCTTAAAATATATTTGCTCTCAAGAGACAAAAATAAACCTCTGAGGATGCTTGCCATAGATGCAGGTGAAACATCAGGAAAGAATGCTTCTAGAACATGGCCATATAGCCCGAAAAACCTACAACAACCCAAAAATAAATAGATTTCTTTAAAAGTAACTTAGTTGATTTATTCACAAACTTCATGTATTCAACATATCGGAACTTTGCCAATCAATCCAGTTACATGCAAAGTACATGACTGCAGTGAACATGGGTAGGACCTGACTGCCCTTCCGTCTTGTAAGTGGAGTGGCAGCTGAGATAACTTGAGCAGACCTATTCGTTTCTGGAAGAAAAACTAAACAATCTTGTGGGGTTAGTTCTCAGTAGTTTATGCATAATTAAGTAGTTACATTATTTTGGTGACATAAGACTCTTCATTGTTTTTCCTTCATTTGTATTCCTCCTGGCAGAATTCAGCAGCAGAAGTAAAAGGTATATAAGGAAAGGCTCAATTCTTCGCTAACATTTGTTTTCATATATTAAATAACCCTTTTCACTTATGAAATCAAAGGACTGTGCAAACTGGTCCAACCATATGGCCTTGGGGGTTCCTTTTAGGGATGCCTCTCTCTTTCAGCTTTGTTTATGTTACTTTTGTGCAGTTGCTGTTGTTCGGTCCCTGAGTTGTGACGGGCTGGGCAAAGAGGATACTGGGAACTATTTTGTGTGAGAGGCTATCTCACAACTGCAGAAAAGAAGCCTGGCCCCTGCTCTAGAACTGATAAGTACTCTGTCTGTCTCAGTACGCAGTTGAAAAACATGGCTGTAAGCCTAATTCTTCATAAATAGGGAGATGCTGGTATAACTTCACAGAATATGGCATTTCCTTTTGTCATAGAGTTGTCCCTTCATGTGTTCTGCAAGGGAATCAGAAATGCACCTTCAAAAATAAATATTGTGGAGGAAAGATGGATAATAAGCATGTCATGTGGATCTATTTAATGGGGTTAATGACACTTTACTGGTTTTACTTGCTGACGCTTCTTGTATACCAGAAGTTCCAAATGCTGTCTACTTCCAGGTCCATAGAAAATCATCTACTGTCTTTGCTGACTTGTAGTGTGCTACCTTCCATTCTCTCTTTACTTTATACCCGAATACTTTCCAACATTTTTGCAATATTTTACATCTGAAATCCTTTTCCAAACCAACATGTTATTACATTGAAATCGCTAAAATCATCCTAATCTCTTTCTGAATGTGCAGAAATGCATATGCACACACATTTATATGCTCAATTAATGAAGATTATGTGTTCCTGGCTTTTACTTTTTTAAACAGAAACTTTGGTTCCAAAGAGAGAAATAACAAAAAAGATAAGGTTCCTCTATCACACAAGTACACAGAAAATAAGAGCAGTTCAGCGTATTCCAGCAAATGTTTTATTCAAACAAGCATTATGCATGTTTTAAATAAAACAACTAGGGAAATGAGTCTTGCATAAGTAAACAAAAACATTTTGAATCTTCCAGAAGCCATTGAAAACTTACTCTAATTCTGGGATTTTTTCTTTCAATAGCCTTCACTTTTCTTATGATTTTCATTTTAGTGGTGAAACTTATCAACCTATGTTTTTTTTCAATGTTCAGGGCAGCTGGTGAGGCAAGCTAATATGTTTTCCCCTTTTCTTTCTGTTTTGCTCTTCACACATGCTAAGTGATTCTGGAGGTAGCTGTTTATTTTGATTAAGGATATGTAAGCACAGACAGCTATAGCGGAATTGCGACTTCTGCTTGTCTTAAAGTGGAACCTCATTCTTTCCCAGTTCAAGCTGTTTTACTACAGACATGCTGCTGCAACCCAGAGCTGAAAACTGGACTTTCTGCAGGCCCCTTTCACCAGCCTCCCAATTCCAATGCTGCAAAAAACAAACAAACAAACAAACAAAAAACTTTCCAGCTAGACAGATGAAAATACTAGACAGTGCTATTATTTATGTTTATTTAGGTCTTATTGTATATATGGTTTCATAGATTACTGTTATGTGTATGCTGGATCTGTATTGTTTTTTTTTTTTAATGTGAGCCACTTTGGGTCTTGTTTAGGGAGAAAAGTGGGATATAAGTAAAGATGTATTATTATTATTATATTTTACTGATACAAAAACACAGTATGTTACAGCAAATGAGACCTATGTACTAGATTTTGTATCACAAAATCATAAGTCAAACCCTTCTCAAGCGTCTAGGACTGTGTGATATATTTTCGAATGATGTGCGCAGATCCAAGTAAGATGGTCTTTTGCAGTTGACAGATCGTGATTTTGTCAATGTGTATTGTTTCCAAATGCCGGCTGAGATCTTTTGGCACGGCATCCAGTGCGCCAATGACCACCGGGACCACCTGTACTGGTTTATGCCAGAACCTTTGCAGTTTGATCTTGAGGTCTTGATAATGGCTGAGTTTTTCCTGTTTTTCCTCAATGCGACTGTCACTCGGTATGGCGATATCAATAATCCAGACTTTTTTCTTTTCCACAATGGTGATGTCTGGCGTATTGTGTTCCAAAACTTGGTCAGTCTGGATTCAAAAGTCCCACAGTATTTTTGTGTGTTCATTTTCTACTACCTTTGCAGGTTTATGATCCCACCAGTTCTTTACTACTGGTAGGTGGTACTTGTGACATAATTTCCAATGAATCATTTGGTCCACAGAGTTGTGCCTCTGTTTGTAGTCCATTTGTGCGATTTTCTTGCAGCAGCTGAGGATATGATCAATGGTGGTATCATCATCATCATCATCATTATTAAAAGGGGAAGCTGGGCTGGGTTCCTGTACATACTTTGTAATTCTTTTTACAAAGTCTTTTACAAAGCATTTTCATTAGAGGCTTTGCTAACTGAGACTCAATTGTACACTATTTTAATTTGTTGTTGTGGACCATCGTGTTACCTCCACCTTCTCGCAAACCCCAGGGCAAGCCTGTTGTGGGGTTCTTTTGGCAACTTCTATTACGAAAGGGGTTTGTCATTGCCTTGCTCTGAGGTTGAGAGGATATGACTTCCCCAAGGATCACTCAGTAGGTTTCCATGGCTGAGTGGAACCCTGGTCTCTTTGAAGTCCTAATCTAAGCTGCAAACCATACCAGCTCTCCCTGTGCTACTATAGCAGTTTAAGAAATCGGATTCATTAGTTCTAGTTTAACTGGAACTACTAGGGGCTGAGGCTAAGCCCTTTGGAGCTTTATTTATTTATTTACTTTATTTATATACCGCCATTCTCAGCCCTAGAGCTGGGAAGGAGCTGATGTAAAGTAACATTACTTGCAAGGGTTTTTGTGTGGCAGTGTTCTTGCTTTCGAAATGAGATAATTTTTGTATAGTGTATCATTTCATTGCTATCCTCAAGTGGTACATTTTGACAGTAGTGTACCTTGTTGAACACGTATTTAACACATGTATTAGTAACGAACAACAAAAGTTACTTTTTAGTAATGAATTTTTTTAACATGGAACATTTTTAACATGGAACATCTCAGCTGTGCTTCAACCCATTCCTTTCTTTTAGGAACAAAAAGGACTTTGGCTTTGCCTCTGTTACAACTCTCTCTAGGCTCTGCTTATATAGATGTCAGCTACTTTGCTCTTAGTATGCACTGTGAGGATAAGTACAGTTCTACTGGAAATGTCTCTTTCACCTTTTATCGTCCTGAAATGCTTTTGTAAGAAACAGAACAAATGTCTTTTACGCCACCTGTTTCATTGGATTATGCTAACTAATAAATAAGTAGGTAATTAGGGAGATGTTCCTGGCAGCATGTAATCAGCAAATGCATGCATAAATAGGCACAGCTGATATTGTGGACAGAACAGCAAAGGGGGTAATTAATTTCTAAGATAAATGTGCAAACACGTATGGAATATCTGGAAAGGAATGCAGAACAACAAAGAAACATGAAATCATGGAGTGCAAAGATAACAATTTCTGTAGTGTATTGGTAAAAAAGTTATTGCAAGGCAGTGATGAAAGAGGCCCCTCCCTAAGGCTATGGAAATAAGTTTTAGCAACCATTTAAACTTCTTTTGGGGGGCATTATTGCTGAGCAGGTATGGAATAGTAGTGGTGGTGGTTTTGTTTACAAGTTCTGTGCCTTGGTACAGTTTTATCCCTTCATGTATTATTCCAAACAAAAGGCAATGGAAAATATAGGTCTAGTCCTATGATTACAATGGGAAAATGCAGAATTGCAGGTCCTAGCAGCAATAGTCAGTATAGTCAAGGGTGGGAAATTCTGAGGATTTCAGTTTGGCAACACTAGGACGGCTGTCCAGTGGCATCATCACACTAGAGAAAAAAATGCTCTTACAATCCAGTTTCTGTGTCCTGCAGAATTCTGAGGTTTGTAGTTTAGTGAGGCTGTTAATGGCGCCTCCCTAAACTATAAACCCCAGAATCCTGCAGGAGACAGAAAACAGATTTTAAGTGGATTTTTTTCTCTAGTGTGATGAAGTAGCAAGTCTTATCCCTGTCCTATGACAAAACCAGAAGTGTCCAGATGTGTCACAAATTCCAAGTTTATGCCACAAATGTCTATCCTTTCAAGCAGATCTTTGCAGTCATAAGGCCTAAACTTTAGCTGGGAGACTGGTCAAGCAGATGAATACCCGTCTCTGACCTTGCTATACTTAGCGTAAAACGAGTGAGCAAGTGTGCTGGGAACAGTTTTTGCCTCTGCCAAGTAGGTTACACCAAAGTGCAAAGAGAACTATTTCCCAGTCACACTTTTGTTATGTGATGTTTAATTTTGTTGTGTTTAATTTTGGCTCATTAATTTTTAATTTTTGTATCATCATCTCTTTGTAGACTATAATGCAGACATTTCTAAAAACATGAAGTGATTCTAAACACTGCTAGACATTAGGAGGAACTTATTCATGAAGAACAGCAGGACCAAATGTTGGATACAGCTGAGAAGGCGAGGTGCTTTTATTAATTCGCCTTGGTTTGAGTTAGCATCAGTTCTCATTTTGTGAAAGCATGACATTTTAAGATTCATGCTTCAATATCCATAATTCAGCTGGTACATTTAAAGTCATTTTGTACTGGTTTGAAGACTTGAGTTCAAGATTTTTTTTTTGTTTTAATCAGCTGACATAGAGGGCTGGCCTTCATCATACAAGTTAACTACCTGTATCCAGTATTGAGCTAAGCACTTTTTTAAAAAGGCTATCCATATTTGCCCTACTTGATCATTTAAGATATCAACTGGCAAAAAAGGCAGAAATGTTGTTCTGAGGAAACACAATCAAAACAGTTCCAAAATAACTAAGGTTGCATTTTTTGTCATTGGTATGTTTTAACAGTGCTCTCATTATCTAGGTAGTATTGGGGAAAACAGGAGATAATAAAGAAAGCCATAAAATACATATACAACAAGTTTAGTTTTTAGTCCTTTGTCTCTTCAAGAGCCATGATCAATCTTCTGCATAATCTTGGGAAGATACTTGAGATGAAATATTTGCTTAAATGCAGAGCCTTAGACCATCAATAACGAGGGAGTCTGGATTACTGGAGAAGGTTCAACTTCCACTGGATGTTTTTGTTGAATTTGGGAGGTAAAAAGAACTCAACATCTGCAAAAGAGAAACCAAATAAAGAGATAACCATAATTGTGCAATGAGCAAACACCTTAACATGGCAGACATGTTTGCCAATACCAACATAACATGATCTTTCATTCCCTGCGTAGCTATGGAGACCCACTGGGGACCTTGGATAAATCACATACCCTGCAATAGAGTCATCATAGATCACAAACAACTTAAGGAACCCAATAACTACTATGTGAATAGCTGACAACCCATTGTGTGGTTTCAATATGCACTACAGAGACTAGGCATTTGTACGCCACTCTATGTACTTTAATATGCTGCTGTATGCGTAGCAGTCCATCACTGCAACTCTGCTTGCCCTGTTTGAGTATGATCATTGCTCATTGTCCAAAAAACAAAACAAAAAACAAAAACAAAAACTGGCACTAACAATGTGGGTTTTGTGTAGTGCATATATTTCTCTTACCTTGTGCTATGGGATTCAGTGCTTTTTGTTGACTATAAGAAGCGCTAATGCTATTTGCAGTTGAATTGGGACCCAGGATCTAAAATGACAAGAAACGGACAAAAGGAAAAACATTTGTCTGCAAATAATAATAACATTAAAACATTTCAGATACCTTGCTATATTTCCTGGCATTTTATACACTAAATCACTTGAAGGCAGTTATTGTCTTACAGAATGAAAGATCCTGAGATGTTCCCTCACTGTGACCCAGAAATGAAACAAGTTTTTGCTTTGCCTCGCTGTCTTCTCCCCAAAGCCCAATTTCTGCTTGTTCACAAGATCAAAGGATAGGAGGCAGCCCTAGCTAGGTAGCAGCAGGTGTCTTCACAGCAGAGGTAGCTTTCCTGATTATATTGAATGCTACCTACCATCAATTTCATCCAATATTGCTGATGCTTGGATGATGGGGTGGAATTCAACATCAGGAGGCCCTCTGGTTCCTCCCCTTGCTTGTGATAATGCAGATAAGCAGCTCTCAAATTAATGAGTTATTGATGTAGATGGGTAAGTAAAATTTCTAGTGCAGAAATCTGTCAAGGGGTGGAGAATCATGGGCTGTTCAGGTCTGGAAACACGACTCCCAGCATTCCTAGTCATTGACTTTGCTGACTAGAGTTCCTAGAAACTGTAGTCCAGTAACATCTAGAGAACCCCATTATATCACTAGCTAACTGAGAGTCTACTCAGTTATACACACTGGTCCCCAGCACTGTGCAAGGAAGGGTCCCAGTAATGTTTATGATAATATACTTTCCCTTCAATTCCAATGCTTTTGCAGGAACATGGCCACACTCCCTGACATGATTGGGTCTCTGGAGGACCAAAGCCAGTGCTTACAGGAAATGGTAGAGTGCACAGCCAGCTTCTCTTCTTCTGCCCTGTTGTCCATGAGAGGAGGAGCAAACCTAACGATGGGAAATCCTGGCTGAATACATTAGGCTTAGCATCCCCAACATGACTGGGAGAAATGTACAAAAGAACGTCTACTACTCTTTCCAGTCAATGCCCAGAGATCATCCCTTCCTCATTAGATTCCAGGAGGCAAAGCTGAGCCACATAGGAGAGACTGAGAATTCAGCTGAATTCCTCTACAGCATCAAAATAGGACACAGAGTAAGAAACTGGATTCTTACTGGATTGGCTGGGAACTGCTGCAGGCCCGGGCTCCAGATTTCTGGGATGGAGTGCTCTGTCAGTTGAAGGATCTCATCAAAAGCTTGCTGTAACTCCTGGGCTTGCCCGTCATAGCCAAAAAGGACTAGATACTTCAAAAGGCTGTGCATCTCACCTTGGGAAAAAATAGAAGAAATCCATTGTATATAGATTTTAAATGTAAATGTTAAACTATTGGTTAATACACAGATCTGCAGTTTTGCTCTTCAGTTTCAGCATAAGAATAATGTAAGTACTATATATACTTGAGTTTTTGAGAATAGTGCAAGTACTGTATATACTTGAGCCTAGTTTTTCAGGCCTTTTTTTAGGCTGAAAAAGCCCCCCTCGGCTTATACTCAAGTGAAGGTCCTGGTGGTAAGGCACAGCATAGCAACCCAGCAGGGTCACTGTACTGTGAGAGGAGAGGAAGGCACACCTTCCTCTTCTCCTTTCTCACCTCTCATCCCCTCCCCACTGTACCGAGAGGGGAGGAAAGGCTGCACACCTTCCTCTCCGCAGTCATTCCCACCTGTTTTCCCCCATTTTTCTAGCACCCCTTTCCCACCCCAGTCTTCCCTTTTTCTAGTTGCCCCCTTCCCACTCCAATCTTTCCACTTTTCCAGCCCCCTTTTGCACCACAGTCTTGTTGCAATTGTCCTTTCCCCATTCCAATCTTTTCCAGATGCCCCTCTTTCCCACCCCAATTTCCCCAGCTTTTCTCACCACCACCCTTTCACACTCTAGACCAGGCTCTTTCCCACTTTTCCAGCCTCCCTTTCCTTCCCAACCTTCCCCAGTTTCCAGCCTCCCTTTTACACCTCAGTCATTCCTCCTTCCCCAGTTGCTCCCCTCCAACCCCAATCTGTCCTACTTTTCCAGCTATGCATTTCCACCTCATTTCCCCACTTTTTCAATCAACCCTTCCCAAGCCAGTTTTTCCCACTTTTCCTTATTCATATACACACAACCTTTTCCCCAAAATGTATAGTTAAAATAAACTATGGTGATTATTGGAAGGATATGTAAGCATATTTACATCGAAGAAGGTTAGAATAATGATTTAAGCAGACCTGGACAGTCTTATCTTAAATTACAGTTTTATGTAAATATTCAAAAACATTTAACCTACTAATGCCTCAATTAATGTAATTTTATTAGTATCTTGTTTTTATTTTAAAATTTACCAGTAGCTGCTGCATTTCCCACCCTTGGATTATACACTCGAGTCAATAAGTTTTCCCAGTTTTTTGTGGTAAAATTAGGTGCCTCAGCTTATATTCGGGTTGGTGACTACTACTACTACTACTACTACTAATAATAATAATAATAATAATAATAATAATAACAACTTTATTTGTATTTCACCCTATCACCCCGAGGGGACTTAGGGCGGATTCCAGCATAACAATGGCAAACATTCAATGCCTACATAAAACACATGATACTAACATAAAATTCCAGAAAACCCTCACATGTAAAAGTAATATTAGAGCCTAACATCAAATTAAGACCTGACATCAGTTAATTAAACCTACACATAATCAGACAAAATTCTGTAATAACATAAATCTAAACAAAACAAAAGTATGTATGGGTAATTATTTCTCTTAGACACAGGTATAACAAACACATGTCTCTTTTCAATGCTGTGATTACTTGTTTCAGCACAAAGTAACCTTTGTCTCTATTTCTGAAAATAAGAAATAGAAGCTCAAGACTGCTTTCTGTCCTATCACTTGGTAAAATAAAAACCTAGTCCTATCTTCCACTGTTCAGACGTTTGTGAACCGATGGCAACAATCATCATTTATCTTAAAAAATTGCTTAATAACAATAAAACATTGAAATTGGAAAGCTACCAGGGTAGTCATAATTAGATTTTCTTCCAATGGCATTGAGATTCTAGTGCTCAGCCATGGAAATGGGGGAGGAGGGTAAGGCCATGAGCAACACTGCAGTTTAGTAATGAAGGCAAACAAAAATGACAAGGAATACTAGAAAAGAGGAGGAGGAGGGGAGAAGAGCAGCAGCAGCTCAGTGAGAGTCATCATTATTTTCATAGAATCATAGAGTTGGAAGAGGCCTCGTGGGCCATGCAGTCCAACCCTCTGCCAAGAAGCAGGACAATCTCATTCAAAGCACCCCCAACAGATGGCCATCCAGCCTCTATTTAAAAGTATCCAAAGAAGAAGCCTCCACCACACTCCGGGGCAGAGAGTTCCACTGCTGAACAGCTCTCAAAGTCAGGAAGTTCTTCCTAATGTTCAGGTAGAATCTCCTTTCTTGTAGTTTGAAGCCATTGTTCCGCATCCTAGTCTCCAGGGAAACAGTAAACAAGCTTGCTCCCTCCTCCCTATGATTTCCCCTCACATACTTATACATGGCTAACATGTCTCCTCTCAGCCTTCTCTTCTTCAAGCTAAACATGCCCAGCTCTTTAAGCCACTCCTCATAGGGCTTGTTCTCCAGACCCTTGATCATTTTGACACAAAAGTACTAAGTTTTGATGTTTCTAAAGCTGGAGAATAACAGCAAAGTTTGCAACCTGGGTACTCAGGCTTCTTTAAGTGAGATGAAATATACACTCAAGCATCTATGAATTGTTTATGCCTGTCCAACACACTTTACTTGTTGTTATCTTTGGATATATGAATTTAGTATCTAGGGTGTGATGGGCAAACCGGGACTGCATGTAACCCCAAGGTCTGTAGCCCCTGCAAACTTCCATGACTCACCTTTAAGGCCATCAATTATTCGAACTATTTCCCCTAAAACTTCCAGGAGCGCAACATCCTCCAAGGGACTCCCTTCCTTCAGACTGTGTTTCTTGCGCTCTGCCTTGCGACGGTTCTTGGACGAACGCCTGCAACAGATTAAATCCCATGTCACAAACACAGCCAGAAAGCTAATTGTGGGAGGTCCAGGGTGGGAGAAAAAACTCTTGTCTGTTAGAGGCAAGTCTGAATGTTGCAATTAATCACTTTGATTAGCATTGCATAGCATTGCAGCTTCAAGGCCTGGCTGATTCCTGCCTGAGGGAATCCTTTGTTGGGAGGTGTTAGCTGTCTTTCCTTTGGCACAACTGATCTAGAAGAAGTATGCTGTTTGGCCATACAGCTAACTCCTTCATGTATTATCCAGTCCTCCAAACATCCCTCTCTATATATTGCAAGTACATACCAAAACAGTTTTATTGGGTAACATGTTTAGATAAAACTGTTTTTGTCCTAGGCACAAAGGTAAAAGGAACATGTTTTATTGCCTGCTTTTGTGTCAGTGTCCTGATGCAGATCACTAGAAGCAGGTGAAGAGAACCAGGCATAACCTTGTATTATATGTCAACCAGTATAATGAATTGGAAACTTTTCCACTTTTGAACAAGAACAGCATCCACACAATTGAAAAGATAGGGATGGGGGGTGATAAAGATGCAGAAAGACTGAGTACGTACGCAGATATTCTTGAATTACTGTGAGTGTATTTTGAACTTGTGTCACTAGCTGTCACCATACTGCTGGCATCAGAGAAGAGGTCTGACTCCGGACAATTCGGCGCTTCAAAATCTGCAAAAGCCAATGGCCTAAATCAGCAAGAAGAAAGAAACCACTCCCCACTGTAACTATGTTGCTGTAACACTTTCTGCAGCTAGCTAAAAGTAAAGGTTTCCCCTGACATTAAGTCTAGTTGAGTCCGATTCTCAGGGGTGGTGCTCATCTCAATTTCTAAGCTGAAAAGCCAATGTTGTCCGTAGACACCTCCAAGGTCATGTGATCAACATGACGGCATGGAGTGCTGTTACCTTCCCACAGAAGCGGTACCTGTTGTTCTACTCAAATTTGCATGTTTGTGAACTGCTAGGTTGGCAGAAGCAGGGCCTAAAAGCAGGAGCACACCCTGCTCCCTGGATTCGAACTGCCAACCTTTTGGTCAGCAAGTTCAGCAGCTCAGCGGTTTAACCTGCTGCGCAACCAAGGCAGCCTAAGGTAAAGGTAAAGGTAGTCCCCTGACATTAAGTCCAGTCATGTCTGACTCTGGGGTGTGGTGCTCATCTCCATTTCTAAGCCGAAGAGCCGGCGTTGTCCGTAGACACCTCCAAGGTCATGTGGCCGGCATGACTGCATGGAGCGCCCTTACCTTCCCACTGGAGCGGTACCTATTGATTTACTCACATTTGCATGTTTTCGAACTGCTAGGTTGGCAGAAGCTAGGGCTGACAGCGGAAGCTCACGCCGCTCCCCAGAATCGAACCTGCGACCTTTCAATCAAAATGCTCAGCAGCTCAGTGCTTTAACCCACTGCGCCACCGGCAGCCTAGCAGCTAGCTAATTATTGCAATTTCCTAAATTAAGGACCAAACCAAATAACTTACCAAGTGAAGCTCAAATGAAGTTGGACTGGTCTGAGAGCTGCAAGCTCAGACCCCTTCCACACTGCCATATAATCCAGATTATCAAAGTAGAGAACAAAGAGGAGCCATGCTGGGCCAGAACGTCTAGTATCCTATTTCACACAGTGACCAGCCACATAACTTATGGGAAGTTTGCAATCAAAAGCCCTTTCCTATATTGTTCCCAGCATCTTGGCCCGAAGAAAACTATTGCATGTAAACCCATCACAGTCATATTAGCAACCTCTGATGGCTTTGTCTTCCATTAATTATTCCAGACAGCAATGTTGGCCTTCACTTGACTCCAAGCACTGTTTTGACCAGGGACTGTCTATTTATGAGTGATATATGAAGCAAGATTCATCTCTACTGCATACCTAGCAGGTCATTTTGGGCTTGCTGCTTCAGCTCTCGAACCACAGAGAGGCGCTTACGATGACGAGAAAATGATGTCTTCTGAGTCTCTAGAAACATCAACTGGTTTTTCTGAGCTAAATAGTAACAGGAAAAGAAAAAAAATGGTAAAATTGAAGTAGGTCACATTAAAAACTCTAAGCAAAGAAGTAGTCTTTAGAACTGAAGATCAAGCAGAAAGCAACATGCAAGCAAGCATAGTTCAGGTTGGGTTGTTATAGGTTTTTTCGGGTTATATGGCCATGTTCTAGAGGCATTCTCTCCTTAGAAGAGAATGCCTCTAGAGAACATGGCCATATAGCCCGAAAAACCTACAACAACCCAGTGATTCCGGCCATGAAAGCCTTCGACAATACATTAGTTCAGGTTGTTAAATTCTCCCACATGGCAAGAAGAGACGTATTATCTAAATGGATAAAAAATATTTGCACATTGTAATGTTAGCTTCCTGTCTGATAGGTTAACATTCTTATACATAGGAAGGACTGTTTCCTATGTAGAGGAAGCATTCAGACCTACATCTCTTCCCTTAACGAAATGAAGTGATATAATTTGGAACAAACTACACTGCATGCAGTTTCTACACACTGAGACAAAGCTTCTCAATAGTCTTGTACACATCCTATCCAAAGAACGAAACACAGGCATCTTAATCTTAAACCTCTAATCCCATATTTAACTTTGAATATGTTTTAATGGATTTTGACTGTGAATTTTTCTAGTGCCATTTACATTTAATTATTTTTTAATGTATGCATATTTGTATGTTTTAATTTATATGCTAATGTTTTTATGTTAAGCCGCTTTTAGTATTCTTCAGGATAAAGCGTGGTATAAATAAATATAAATATAATTTTTAAAAATCATGTCAGGAGCGACTTGAGAAACCTCAAGTCACTTACGGAGTGAGAGAATTGGCTGTTTGAAAGAACGTTGCCCAGGGGACGCCCGGATGTGTTATCATCCTGTGGGAGGCTTCTTTCATGTCTCCACATGAGAAACTGGAGCTGACAAACAGGAGCTCACCCCCCTCCCCGGATTCGAACTGCCAACCTTTTGGTCAGCAGTCCTGCCAGCACAAGGGTTTAACCCATTGCACCACAGGGGGCTCCATAATAATAATAATAATAATGATAATAATAATAATGATAATAATAATAATAATAATATAGAGTCACATATCCAACAGCACCAAGTGAAGGGAATCGTACCTTCCAGCAGAGATGGTTTGAAATTGGTCTCCAGAATATCACTCCTATTATATTTGTAAATCTGGAGGAGGAAAAAGAATAAGGAAAAGATAACTTTTGCAACGTAGCTGTTGTTTCACTTCCTTATTTATTCATTTAATATATAACCTGGCTTTCGCCCAACAAGGAACTCAAACAACTTACAAAAAAAAGTTTATAAAGTGACAAATGACAACATTTTCTAACTGGTAGATAATTGAAAGAGTTTGGGGATTTTAAAAGGATCTTACTAATCTCAAGGCTTCATCCCAGATCATTCCTTCCAGGAGGAGCAAGATGGCCTCTTCATAATCCTGGATAGAAAGAAGTAAAGCATTCACTGGCATCATTCTTGTGGGTCACCAACAAGTTGTTTCTGGTGTGAGAGAATTGGCTGTTTGTAGAGATGTTGCACAGGGGATGCCTGGATGTGTTACCATCCTGTGGGAGGTTTTTCTCATGTCCCTGCATGAGAAGCTGGAGCTGACAGATGGGAGCTCACCCTGTCTCACGGATTCAAACCGCCAACCTTCAGGTCAGCAGTTCAGCCAGCACAAGGGTTTAACCCATTGCGTCACCGCAATGTTTTGCTATGAAGAGACCGTTCTGCGATGTGACCGCTCACTCCCCACAGAGCAAGGAATAGCCATGCACTTCAGTAAGTCAGAAGTGTGTTACATTCTGCAGAAGGAGGAAGGAAAGACTAACCACGCACATCACCCAAAAAAGGATGTATACGCTCCTAACTCGATGCCCCACAGAGACTATGAGGCATTTCACCAGGGTCATAAGTGATGACATATATAAGTGATGAGGCATTTCACCAGGGTCATAAGTGATGACATATATAAGTGATGACATATCCTATCACCTCCAGTTGATTGACAGTATGGTTGGGAAACTATAGTCTTCAGATGTTTTAGACTACAACTTCCATAATCCCCTACAGCATTGTTCATGCCTGGTAAGGCTACTGGGAAGCTGTGGGCCAAGACATTTGGCGATGAGACCTTCCCCACCTTGGTTTTAATGTCACCTTATCCACAGTGCTGTTCAAAAAAGTTAGTTGACATGTCCAATTTATGACATTGTAATAAATCAAGGTAGACACACAGAAGGGTAAACAAACTCTATGTTTCACTCCTTTCCTTTCTCATTTATTTATTACTAGCCGTCCCCTGCCACGTGTTGCTGTGGCCCACATGGGGGTTCTATGTGGGAGGTTTGGCCCAATTCTATCGTTAGTGGGGTTCAGAATGCTCTGTGATTGTAGGTGAACTATAAATCCCAGCAACTACAATTCCCAAATGTCAAGATTCTATTTTCCCCAAACTCCACCAGTGTTCACATTTGGGCATATTGAGTATTTGTGTAGAGTTTGGTCCAGATCCATCATTGTTTGAGTCCACACTTATCTCTGGATGTAGGTGAACTACAACTCCAAAACCAAAGGACACTGCCCACCAAACCCTTCCAGTATTTTCTGTTGGTCATGGAGAACTGTGTGCCAAGTTTGGTTCAATTCCATTGTTGGTGGGGTTCAGAATGCTCTTTGATTGTGGGTGAAATGTAAATCCCAGCAACTACAACTCCCAAATGACAAAATCAATTTTTTTGAGTGAAGGACATACATTGGGTTTAAGGTGTCTTGTGTCCAAATTTGGTGTCAATTCATTCAGTGTTTTTTTTTAGTTTTGTTAATCCCACAAACAAACATTACATTTTTATTTATATAGATTTACTTGCCATATTTATATCCCACCCTTCTCACCCCGAAGGGGACTCGGAGCAGCGCACACAAGGGCATGAGATCTCTATCTAATTTCTACTGCTGCTTTCAAATTTGAACAGCAACAATGGTCATCTTTGGTATTATCAGGGGCTGCTCTACTTGAGGTGGTGGAACAGGAACTGGCTGTATATCTCGTAGAAGCCTTCTCACCAATGTGGAGTCCCATACTAATTTTGTTATGCTCCTGCAGTGATATGAGGCCCACTGTTTGCTAGTTGGCTGTCCCTTGCTTTACACCCAAGACAGACACCACAAAAACGGCTAAGGTATGAAGATCCAAATTTAGCTGGGAAGCACTAGGGCATGACAGAACGAAAACAGTGGGGGATATACCTTGGCATATTGTTCCAGGAGGATCGCAGCATCAGCATACTTCCGTTTTTCAGTAAATCGTCCTGAAACAAAGGAAGAGCATTCAGGATTTAGAGAGAAAATCGAAAGACAATATTTCCTTCACTTGATGAAGTAAACTCTGCCTGTGTGTCAAGTCAATGTACTGTTTGTTCTGTTTTCCACTTTATTCCCAATTCCACACGTTCGTGCTCTATTAAGAAACCAGCCCTGAGGACTGCTAAGGTCACATTAGCAGCAGGGGATTTCAGTCATTCATATTTCCCAGTTCCTGGTAACATAACCAAAGATGTGCACTGTGATATGCACTGTAACTGGGACTGTGCCCTTGTTGTCAAGCCATACAAGATCTGCACCATGGCAACTGCACTGTCTTGGCACAGATTTATGCAAACGAAAGGACTGCATACACAAAATTTGCATAAATCAATCGTTTAACTATTCAAGCATCAGAGGAGCAGGTGGTTTGGCGAAACTTCAGTAGAACGTGGAATAAAAGGAAAGGAACATGGAGATTGGGGACAGGTGAGTACAATCGTTGTCAGGGGTCACAATAGGATCCTTGAGCCTTTGCAAACTTGCCTTGGGTAAAAATAACACATGTAATAGGAGATCCCATCCTGTACCCCAAATACCACATAGTAGTCCCACTTTCTATTCCAAGGGTCATGGGACTCAGAGGTGCTGTTTCTGGAAACCTGTTGCTGGAAAGCAAAAGAAGCCAAAGAAGTACAGGGTGTTTCAAAAAGTTGGACCTGATTTGAAATCATTATATTTCTGCAACCACAAAACACCCATGAATAAAAACTTACACCTTGAAAGGATGGGGCATAGAGTGCCAAATGGTTACCCTCTAGACGTCTCGTCCAGCACACAAATGATCCCTAGCCTCTCGCTATCATTTGTAAGACAGTGACAACACAAAACCAGACCTAATATATATATTTACAGTATTTGTATACCACTTTTCTCACCCCGAGGGGGACTCAAAGCAGTTTACATATAAGTAATGGCAAAAGTAACGGCGCTTCGGCTTAGAAATGGAGATGAGCACCACACTCCAGAGTCAGACATGACTGGACTTAATGTCAGGGGACTACCTTTACCTTTTTTAATGGCAAAAGTTCAATGCCACTACAAACAATTACAATTAGACACTACAATTAGACATAAATCAAATTGAAAAATACATCCATGAGCAATAAAACAATCATTAAAACAATAAAACAGTCTCGTCCGTCGAATCACCGTTACAGCCATTGTCTTTCCGAAATGCTGCATACATTTACTTCTACCACCCAAAGGCCTGTTATAATACTAGTATAACAATACAATATTATAATTATAATTATATATTTACGCTACATGTAATATTACTAATAATATTACAAGATAATGGTATTGTGCAATATAGTAATATATAATACTGATATTGTACTATGCTAATTATATAATATATTGTATGAAAATATATCTTGTAAGCCGCTCTGAGTCCCCTTTGGGGTGAGAAGGGCGGCATATAAATGCCGTACATAAATAAATAAATATTCTCCGTTTGCAGACTTATTCTTCAGATTGGTTTCTGGCTGAAAATGGTTAGTAAAACTTCATAACTTGATAGTTTATGGAACCATTTCTAACTTTTCGTGGAACTGTAACAAGTTGCCATCGTGAAATATACTGCTTTGAAATTGGGTCAGTCATTTTGACATACCCTGTACAATTAGTCCCCTACATTCACAGGGTTGGGGTGAAGGATTCCTGTGAAATTTGAAAAATGTTAAGACGTTGTAGGTGGAGACAAGAAGCTAATTCAGACATTGGCATTCAGCATGGCAACTTCTTGGAAGAGCCTGAAGCAGGACAAACAAGATAGTCTGTACGATAGGGATGCTCACCTGCCATGCTCCTTGCCAAGTTGGCCAGCTTATCTTCTGGGTAGCAAAGTTCAGCTGCTGTACAGAGGGCTTGCTGCCAGTTGCCACTGATTTGAAAAGCATCCAGCGCCTTCTCAAAGGCCCCACAACGGAAGAAGATCAGCCCGGCTTGCTCAGGAAGATGCTTCTGCATCAAGTATTCTCCATAGGCATAGCTGACAGTCTGCAAGACACAGTGATGAAGAAATTAATTTAACTTGACAAGAGCACTGGATCAAATCCCAAACATTTGGCTTGGGTACAGTAGGTGTTTTTACAGATATTGGGGTAAAAGTAAATTATTGGGGTAAAAGTAAAAAGCCACAGAATCATAGCGTTGGAAGAGGCCACAAGGGCCATCTACTCCAGTCCTCCACCAGGTAGGAATAAACCATCAGGCCCACAACTTTCTTTCTGCTAAAGGAGGAAATTATCCTTAAGCAAAAATTAGGTGTTAGTACAAGTAATGGACAAGTCCCAGCATGCATTGTATTCACTATCATGTGGCTGCCTTTCCTCACACATTTGGGCTTGCAAATAAAAATTAATTCAAGCTAAGAAACGATGCTTTTTGCACACCTTGTATTCCTGACTATCTGGACGATACAGCTTCAAGGCTTCCTTATATAAGTTCTGATCCACCACCAGGTTCAGAAACTCTGAAAAATGCTCCGGTCCTGACAGAGAACAAATAAAACATACAGTCATATGATAAAGACAAAACACTGGTCCCACAAGTTAGCCTGCACTTAAACAGATGGGGTTTGGCAAGGGTGTTGGTGGTACCAACGCACAACATTTAAGCAGCCTCACAATAAGGTAACAAATCTTAATTCTTAAATGGGAAGCAAGCAAGTCCCTTGAGCATTCCAAAAGAGAGATTTTAGGACAGTCATTCATTCCCAGTTCAATGTCCATTAAACACAATATTCAGAGTAAAGATGAAGAAAACCCAACAATATTGGTTCAATTCAGGCATTATACCAAACCATGTTTTGTGCATAAGCATAGTGGTAAATGCACAAATTGTTTGTTTCCATGCATATAACAAGCTAACCATAGCCTAGAGCTGCTTGTCTGTTTTTCTTTTCTGTTCAGAACTTGATTTATGATCCTGCATCCTTTTGATAAAGAGAAGTAGCCCTAAACGATGCTTGGTCAGCCATTCCTCATTAAAAAATTAATGGCAATCTGGTTTGCACATTTCATTAGGAACGAGGCTTCAAATCCTGTTTTTAAATATCCTGGTTTAGCAGTGGCCTTGGTTAAGTCATCATATCAAGCACTGATTGAGGATTAGGTTTGAATAGAAACATTGGGCAAATTCAATTGTCATCCCAACTTTGTTGTTGTTGTTCATTTGTTCAGTCGTTTCTGACTCTTCGTGACCTCATGGACCAGCCCACGCCAGAGCTCCCTGTCGGCCGTCACCTCCCCCAGCTCCTTCAAGGTCAGTCCAGTCACTTCAAGGATGCCATCCATCCATCTTGCCCTTGGTCGGCCTCTCTTCTTTTTTCCTTCCATTTTCCCAAGCATCCTTGTCTTCTCTAAGCTTTCCTGTCTTCTCATGATGTGGCCAAAGTACTTCATCTTGGCCTCTACTATCCTTCCCTCCAGTGACTTTAATTCCTGGAGGATGGACTGGTTGGATCTTCTCGCAGTCCAAGGCACTCTCAGAACTTTCCTCCAACACCACAGCTCAAAAGCATCTATCTTCCTTCGCTCAGCCTTCCCTAAGGTCCAGCTCTCACATCGGTAGGTCATCCCAACTAGAGAGCGTCAATTAGACATGCTAACGCTTATGTGGATCTTGCTGATTCCTAATTATTTCTGGGACTAGCAGTTGCATTTTGTTGATCTAAAATGCTTTTCTGATTTGATGACCTGTCACCGAAGAAAGACGTTTGGTTGGATTGCCTCCAGGTTTTGTTAGACTTTGTTCTGATGCTAGATTATAAGCTCTTTTTGAAAGGGTTGGTATTCTCACCAGCCGACAGAACTTCCTGCTCTATGGAGATTATGCCCCCTTGCACAGCTTTCACTAGCAATTTAAAACTTTTTTTTTATTTTCAATAACACCATTAAACAAAATTTGAAAAATGTCCTGTTCCTGTTCTGAAAGTGTTACTCCTGCTTAATTGGGTGGTACTTATTTTGAAAGTAGTTGCTATACTCCAAAAACTTCATTTTTGTGCCTGCCACAAACTATGTTGAATTGGTTGAGACTTGATGAGATATTCATTGAAAAACTAGAGCAAAATGTGCTGCGGGATGTACTGCAAAAACTAAGCCTTTGCAGTTTTATAAACCTTTTCCATGTTTTTATGATGAAACCAATTAGGAAATGACAGGAACAAAACCCATGTTACACAGTGTAACATATTACAGGTACCATCTATATAAATAAAAATGTAATGTCCGTTTGTGGGATTAACATAACTCAAAAACTATTGGGTGAATTGACACCAAATTTGGACAGAAAGGCATGTGCAATCCATGGTTCTGAATGGTTCTAAAGTACTTACAAAACTAAAGTTCTGGTTGTGAAAACTAGGGGGCGTTGGTGCTTTGCTTTTACAGTATTGCTAAAGTTCTGGTGGCGAAAATTTCAGAACTCTAACAAAACTTTCAAAATTTCATTATTATTTCATTATTTCATGGTGATTTTTATGACAGAACCTATTAGGAACTGCCATTTATAATGAAATTTTGAAAGTTGTGTTAAGAGTTCTGAAAGTTTCACCGCCAGAACTTTAGCAACACTGTAGAAGAAAAGCACCAGCGCCCCCTAGTTTTCATCACCAGAACTTTAGTTTTGTAAGTACTTTAGAACTACTTAGAACCATGGACTGCACATGCCTACAATACACCTATCAGGGCAATAAGTGACCATAACTCATAAAAACACTGAAAAACACAGCAGAAGAGACTTAAAAAGCCAAAAATAAAAATAAAAATTACATTACAACACATGCGCAAAACCACATATATACACAAATATATACATACACATATACACATAAACACAGACTGGGCCACAGCAACCTGTGGCAGGGGACGGCTGGTAAGAAATGAGATGAAACCCTCTCCTATGGACTCCTGGTGCACCTACCACATTTACTGAGGTGGTAGAGGGCCTTTGGGTATCTCTTCAAATATTTGTCTATAGAATATCGTTGGTAATCGCTTTCCATTTTCTTAAGATTGTTTAAAAATGGGAGATACTCCTTTGGGTCCTGTAAACAACAAAAAATACCATTATTTAATGTGCTAAAGAACTTAGTAAAATATAATAACTTGTGTATTTCAACATTAGTAGACATTAGTCCCTGAAACCTTTGATCTGAGCTGAAACCAAATCCCTCAGTACCATTTTCAGCAATTTTCTGTACAGTTAAGACTGCTATGGATTGTTGAAGGCCTTAATAGGCGACAGAAAAGAGAAGAGTATTTAATCATTTGACCAAAGAACGATGACACAATAACAATAACAACAACAACAATAATAATGTTAAAAAACAAAGTATGGATTGTCTATGTCGCAATCCCAGGAGACAGCAGGATTGAAGAGAAACAACTGGAAAAGCTGACACGATATGAGGATTTAAGGATCGAACTGCAAAGACTCTGGCACAAGCCAGTCAAGGTGGTCCCAGTGGTGATCGGCACACTAGGTGCAGTGCCTAAAGACCTTGGCCTGCACTTAAACACAATTAGTACATCACACAGTCCTAGACACTTGGGAAGTGTCCAACGTGTGATGCAATACAACAACCAGCAGAGTGATCTTGTCTGCTGTGGACTCATCTTGTTGTGTCTCAAATAATAATAATAATAATAATAATAATAATAATAATAATAATAATAATAAATCACATAGTCCTATATGCTTGGGAAGTGTTCGACTTGTGATTTTGTGATATGAAATCCAGCATAAACATCTCATTTGCTGTGATATACTGTGTTTTTGTGTCAGTAAAATAATAATAATAATAAAGTTTTTTCCCCAGGGGACTCAGGGCGGTTTACAACATGAATAATGCAATAAGTACAATATAATAAAATACAGAAAATGGGATACACAACCTCTGAGGATGCTTAATAATAATAATAAATAATAAACTTTATTTATACCCTGCTACCATCTCCCCAACGGGGACTCAGGGTGGCTTACAAGAGGCCAAGCCCAGACAACATATTACAGCAAAATAAAACCAAAATATAAGCAACAAGCAACAACATCATAAGTACATAAAAACATATGAATACATTAACAATATAACATTACAATGCTTGCCATAGATGCAGGTGAAATGTCAGGAGAGAATGCTTCTAGAACATCGCCATATAGCCCGAAAAACCTACAACAACCCAGTGATTCCAGCCATGAAAGCCTTTGACAAGACATTGGCAGCATTTGGGCTACATTTCATAGTGCTTGCTATAACCTGCAATATCAGTTGAGGGAGACTTCTCGGCACTTGGAACTATAGCCTGTTTGTGGCGTCTGTGTAAGTTGACACCTCTGCCACATACACACATATTATGTGTATAGATAGATTATGTGTATAGATTGTTCTTTCATAGTTCTTTTGCATGACAAATGTACCCCTAAAAAAAACCCTCAATAAAATTATTTTAAAATAATAATAATAATAAATTTTAAAAAACAAATAAGACATATGCAATATGCATAGCAATCAGTTCATGTTTTCAAACTATAGTCTGGTCCCCCGGCAGGCTGAGGGACCATGAACCCGCCCTTGGCTTTAAAATCTTGAGGACCTCTGGTCTAGAAAATGTCAAGATTTCTAGAGATATTCCCCTGGAATCTAAGAATTTGCTAGGTCTTCCAACACAACATTGTGGTAGCTTCCAGAATCATGTTATAACATTGCTTGAAGGACATAGCAAATTTCTATATTCAGCCCAGCACAGGTAGGTCAAACTACAGATGTGGGTTTGGTGATTACAGAGGCCTTCAGTGTAGTTTATTTGATACTGTTCTCTGAACAAGTTTTCCTCTTATTCTTTCAACATCATTGTCTTTTGGTCCATACTACCATATTTTTCTTGTTGGCTTTCTGAGGATCTATGATGTTCTTCCTGAGATGATAACATCATGAATCCTCACAGGACAGACTTGGGACATCACAAGCAGTTTGATCAATATGAGCAAATGTAGTTGGGAGGATTTATGAGAGTAAAGCAGAAAAAGAGGCAATGTGATGAGATTTGAAAGAACAGCATGAAATGGACAACCTGCCTTGTTTATGAATCCTAAGGAAATCTGGGCAATGAGAGAAACTCTGGGCTGTACTGATAATTCTAACAATTTAATTTAGCAGCTACAGAGGTCGGCAAATGAGATATGAATTATAGGGAAATCAAACATAATGTGAGGAATTACCTTCTGAGACTTCTCAGCGACCATGATAACTAAATCAAAGTCATACGTTCCCAACGAATGATCGTACAGCTCATTGACATCCACCAAGTACAGCATGTACTTCAGAGCCTCTTCCGCACTAATGGATCCAACTGTTGATGGAACTTGTTCTGCAGTTTAAAATTGATATATATATATTTAAAGCAAGCCTTCACTTGCAAAAATAGCTGTGGATTAGATGTGGATTTGCATGGAATTTTTAAGTTATAACTATTATGATAGAATGGAAAAATACTGTATTAGGAAGGAAGAACAGAATTGTATAGGACTGTCTCTAACTCAAAGCATGGGAAGTCACTGCAATGGGATACAGGGGAGAAGAGAATGGCATAGGCAGGTGCAACCACTGCATAGACTTTAACAAATATTGCATTGGTTCATGTATATGTGTGTGTGTAGATTGTTGTTGTTGTTGTTGATAAATATGTAAATTTAAAAATAAAATCTTTGCAGAATGGGTTCAGTTCCCATCCCAGTGCTACAATACTACAAATGGGCAAACCAGAGGTGCTTGAATGATGTTGGGGTGGATGACCTCCACAGAGAACTAGATAGGGGGAGTGTATCTCTGCTGCTTCTCTTTTGATGCCATTGACCATGGTATCCTTCTGTGTCGACTCTCCGGAATGGGTCTTGGGGGGCACTGCTTTGCAGTGACTCTGCTCCTTCCTGGAGGATCAGACCCTGATGGCGGTGCTGGGGGACATCTGTTCAGACCCCTGGCCATTGTCCTATGGCAGTGGTTCTCAACCTTGGGTCCCCAGATGTTTTTGGTCTACAACTCCCAGAAATCTCAGCAGTTTACCAGCTGTTGGATTCCTGGGAATTGAGGGCCAAAAACATCTGAGGACCCCAGGTTGAGAACCATTGTCCTATGGGATCCCACAAGGTTCTATTTTCTCCCCCATGATTTCAACATTTACATGAAACCTCTGGGAGAGGTCATCCAGAGTTTTGGGAGTTGGGTGCCATCTCTACGCAGATGACACACTACTACTCTTTTCCACCCCATTCCAAGGAAGCCTCCCGGATCCTGGACTGGTGACTGGCATCTGTGATGGACTGGATAAGGGCCAACAAGCTGAGGCTTAATACACACAAGACAGAGGTCCTCCTGGTCAGTTGTGAGGTCAATTGGGGTATATGGTGGCAACCTGTGGTCGAAAGGTTTACACTCCCCGAGGACACAGCCATTGCCAACACCTGATGCTTGAAACTCAGGTGTCGGTAGTGGCTGGGAGGGCATTTGCACAGTTAAAACTTATGCGCCAACTGCGACTGTACCTTGAGAAGCCTGACTTGGCCACATTGGTCCAAACCCTAGTTGCATCCAGAATGGACTACTGCAATGCACTCTAGGTGGGGCTGGCTTTGAAGACGGCTTGGAAACTTCAATTAGTACAAAGGTCGACTGCCAGACTACTAACCGGGGCTAGCTGTAGGGAGCATGCTATTCCCCAATTGAATCAGCTCCACTGGCTCCTGACAAGTTTCCCAGCCCAATTCAAAGTGGAGGTTATTACCTATAAAGTCCAATATGCTTTGGGTCCAACCTATCTGTGAGACCACATCTCCTTGTATGAGCCAGCGTGGGCTCTGAGATATGCCAGGGAGGCCCTTCTCTTGGTCCCACCACCGTCCCAAATATGGTTGGTGGGGACAAGAGATAGGGCCTTTTTGGTGGTGGCCCCCTGGCTCTGGAATGCCCTCCCTAGAGATTAGATTAATCCTAAATCTCCAAACCTTCAATTCGAGCCTAAAACATGGCTGTTTAGATGGGCTTTTGACTTGGAGAAATGGTCATGTGATGATGTCGACCATTGTTATTCAGTACTTTAATTTGTGTTTAAAGAAACCCAATGACCCACAGGTGTGACTGTGTTTTAGAATTTTTTAAAAATTTAATTGTATTGATTGATGTGGCCCATTGTTTGTTTTCAGTCAAATTGTGCATTGTTTGGATGATATGTAATTCTATTTTATGTGTAGCACCTTGAGTATTTTGTTAGTCACTCCGAGTCTCTTCGAGGAGATGGTGGCAGGGTACAAATAAAATTTTATTATTGTTATCATTCTTATAAAGGAAATCTCCTTGGACTAAAGAATATCCCCATTCCTGTAGTAAAACTGGAACAATGGATGAGATGCTGACGACAAGAATATTTGCTTGAATTTTCCTAAAGGTTCACAACTAAAACATAGCATCTCATACTTGGCTCTGATTTCAGGATCAGTAGGTTAGCTTTATTTAAAGGAAACTAGCTTCATATCCTCATAATTTAGTGGGTGGGGAAACTGGAGGCTAACTAGGAAATAAAAGACTAGTAGAACAAGGGAAAAATTTCCCATGGTAAAAATGAATGCTGTCAAAAAGAGATATACAAATTTATGTAAATAAGCTAAAATGGGTGCTATGTGGCATTTTATGTATTTTAGTAAGCTCTTAATGGTTTTAACATGTTATTTTTTATAACAATGTTAAATGCTATTTTAGTTAGTATATCTTACAAGTTTTTAATTGCAAATTATATTGTTTTTAACGTTGTTAGTGCTTTGAGTTTCCTTTGGGAGAGAAAAGTATAGCAGCAGCAATAATAATAATAATAATAATAATAATAATAAATAATAATAATAATAATAAAGAATCCGACCCCCCCCCCCCCCGCAAATAACTCTGAATCAATCCTAACCCAATATCGTACCTCGAAGTTCACGGATTCTCTGCAAGGCGGTTTCTAATTCTGGAGGGCTCTTTTTTACATGACAAGTTAGGATGGATAAGCAGTATCTAAAGAAACCAACGAGAGAAGTTAAAAAGAAGAGATTTTGAATGCTTTCTTATTTTTCTCATGATGAAGATTTTGCTCAAGATAAGGGTTATCATGGAAATTTCACGAAATTGTTTAGAAAAAATGGCAGAGTTGCCGTTTACATGCAAAAGAATTTGCCAAAACATTTTGAGAGAAACCAAATTAATTTTGAATTGATTAGTAGTGCTCCTTAAAGCAGTGGTTCTCAACCTGTGGGTCCCCAGATGTTTTGGCCTTCAACTCCCAGAAATCCTAACAGCTGGTAAACTGACGGGGATTTCTGGGAGTTGTAGGCCAAAGCACCCGGGGATCCACAGGTGAATGTCCTCATTAGGTCTTTTGCTGTAGGGTTGCCATCTTGCGAATGACTGAGGCTGGGGGCTCTTTGCGTGGTAGGAGAGGCACCAAGCGGTAATTCTTCGAAACTCTATGCCCCACCCTTTCAAAGACTAAGATCTTCATTCATGAACGGTTCCTTGTTGCAGAGATATAGGAATTTCAAACTGAGTCCATCTTTTTGAAGATCCTCTACTATAGAGTCTCACTGGAGGTTCTAGAAAATGCCCAGAAAGGACATACTTTGTTAGATGTGAATATATTAAACTGCAGATATTGGTCCAATGGATTTGGGGGACATACTGTATAGCATTTCAAGTGCAGTCAATCACCTTCTTCAGAACAGAGAATCTGATCTTCCCTTGCAGTTTAGCACCTAACCCCCCCCCCCCCCCACCAACATGGAATCAAATTGTAAATGTTATCTTCAGACAATGCATAAGGTTGTTGAAGAAAAAAACAAAAACAATTTAGGGGGAAAAGTACTGACTTAATGTATTTTATAGGCTACACCCTTATGAAGTGGTATATGCAAAAGAAAGTTAAAGGAAACCCATCAAACTGATGCACATTACCACAAGATACATAGAACTATAGATTCAAGTGGTAAGCCTAGAGAGTGGTTCTCAACCTGTGGGTCCCCAAATGTTTTGGCCTTCAACTCCCAGAAATCCTAACAGCTGGTAAACTGGCTGGGATTTCTGGGAGTTGTAAGCCAAAACACCTGGGGACACACAGGTTGAGAACCACTGGAACAGAGAAAGGTTCAGTTTTAGAAACCGGGTTTTTGTGATTCTCATGTCAGGGCTAAAAGTTGGAAGAGACGATTGCAGGTCTGTAAGGCTGGTACAGCCTGATCAACTCCCTCTCTTCCAGTATAGAACAAAGAAAGTCTGAAGACCATCTATTCGAATTTGCCTGGCAAAGAGTAGAAGTCCTCACACAATAAGGAACTTCAGGAAAACTGTGTCCCTAACAATTGAGAAAGTTCCACATTCAAGAAAATACAGATTGAAGCCCTTTCAAATATTGTAGTACAATATAAGATACCAGGGGCAAATATTGTAGTACAATATAAGATACCAGGGGCATGTTCTCATGTCTTCCATTTCCCCCCTTAGTATGTATCAGGTAAATACATGCATAGGTCAATATTTTCTCCCACCAACCTTATACCAAGGACCTATTTTATATAATTTATATAAGCATAAATGTTAAAAAAATTCTACAATCATGAGCCTAGTAGTACTTAGGAGCATTGATGTTCTCCATGGCTGCTCTCATAGAATCACAGATGAGGTCAACCTTTTTTCTATCAGAACCATGCGGCTCGCAGGTGATGGCAGGATCCAGAGGTGGGTACATGGTCTTTGTGAAATCTTCTTCTCTAGGAAGGAACACACACAAAGGAGGGTAAGTACATCTATTTCTGAACGAGCAGATAGAATTTAGGAACATTGGTGGGTGGGCGTTCACAATTCTTCTGTCTTAAGAGGTGGGAGTCAAAACCAAAAAGGTTTAAGATGGAGACAAGATCAAGCATTCCTCCTCCATTCTTCTCATCTGTTTTGCCTTCTCAAAAACATCACAAATGTTCAAGAAAGTGGAGTTGGTTCTGGGGTGGCATATGGTCCTTTCAGGAGGTGCATCTGCACTATAGAATTAATGCAGTTTGACGCCATTTTAACTGCTGTACCTTAATGCTACATAATCCTGCGAGATGCAGTTGGGTGAGTTATCAACACTCTTTTGAAGAGAAGACTAAAGGTGTTATAAAACTACAATGCCTGTAGTTCAATTGCAGACTTTTACTACCTCTGCAGAAGTTTCTCAAAGCGAGGGTGGTGCATCCCCTAACTGGAATTCCAAAATCTGAAATACTCCAAAATCCAAACTTGTTTATATGAGTGGCGAAAATAGTGACACATTTGCTTTCTAATGGTTCAATATACGTATGTTTCATGTACAAAATTATTAAATATATTTATTATATGTATAAGGAATATATGAAACATTAGATAATTTGTTTAGATTTGGATTCCATCTCCAAGATATTACTTTATGTACGCAAAGACAGGTATTCCAAAATATGAAAAAAAATCCAATACACTTCTGGTCCCAAGAGTTTTGTTGCTGTAATTGTTAGATTAGTAGGAGTTAAGATACCGTATATTCCGGCATATAAGACGACTGGGGGTATAAGACGACTCCCAACTTTTCCAGTTAAAATATAGAGTTAAGACGACAGCCATGCATAAGACTACACCCGCATATAAGACGACCCCTGACTTTTGAGAAGATTTTCTTGGGTTAAAAAGTAGTCTTATATGCCAGAATATACTGTACTTTTTTACAGTTGCTATTATTGTTGCTATGTGCCTCCCAGTCACTTATGACTTGTGGCAACCCCGAGACAAGCCTATTACAGGGTTTCCTTTGTTTTGAAGAGGTTTGCCTTGGCCTTTCTCTGAGGCTGAGAGAGTGTGACTTGACCAAGATCACCCAATGGGTTTCCATGACTGAGTGGGGATTTGAATCCTGGATCCCAGAGTCATAGTACAATGCTCACATCCATAGATCTACTACAAATCATACAGAGATCTATCTGTAGGTCTTGATTTAGTTTCCATCCACCCATTTCAAACACAGCACTTTAAGAAGCAAAGCCATACTTACTTCAGCTCTGTGAGAAACAAGTTAATATAGTTCACAAGATCAATTTGTTTTACGAACGTTTCCACATTTTCCAGGAAAACCTGAAATCGAAAGAAGGCTTTGTTATCTTTCAGATCAATCCGCTAAATGCATGCGTTCATTTTTTCATATGGAAAAGAAACTAAATGCAAATACCACGCAGAAACATGCTTTCATAGTCTATTGACAAAGCTTAAAAAGATGCCTTATGATAAACAAACATGCAAAATTCTCAATGCAACCTATGCTCCTAAGCAGAAATAATATTAAGAGGAAGTCTTTCGTTTGAGGAAAACCTGGCCTACATTTCTCCATTTCCCAACTTAGGATTAAGAATTAAATAATTTCTAGACCAGGCATGGGCTAACTTCAGCCCTCCAGGTGTTTGGACTCCAACTCCCACAATTCCGAATTGTGGGAGTTAGAGTCCAAACACCTGGAGGGCCGAAGTTAACCCATGCCTGATCTAGATGTTGCTGAATTGCAAATCCCAGCATCTCCAACCAGCACAGCTAATAAGGAAATTCTGTTCCTGGTTTGAAAGTGTTATCCCCATTCAATTATGTGATACTTACTTTGAATAGTTGCTGTACTCCAGAAACTTTGTTTTCGTGGCTTCCACATACTATGTTAAACTGGTTGAGACTCAATGAGACATTCATTGAAAAACTACAGTAAAATGTGCTGCAGTATATCCTGCAAAAACAAAGTTTTTGCAGTTTAATAAACTTTTTCCATGATAGGACCAATTAGGAAATGACACTTCTAACCCAGGAACAAAAATCATGTTACATAGTGCTATCATGATTGTGCCCGATGTTTACATTGCACTTAAAACTTGTGTTTTTATAATCCCAATTTTATATTTCCTACTGATATTATTTCTATAATTTATTTTATATACATCCATCCTCTATTCTTCTTATCCCGCTCCAAGATGCTCTTCAAGCAAAGTTGATCCCAACTCACCTTTGGGTTGTGGTCATAAATGAGGTTGAGATTGATTCGCAGTTTCCTCATACATTCAAATGCTTCTTTAAACTGGAGGCTGTTTAGAAAAGTAGAACAGTACTGGTCAGTTTCAAAACAGCCATGTGATAAGGAAAAAAAACAGAGTTATTATACAAGTTATGGCAGAAAAATAATGAGACTGGCAATGCTATGCATGAACCAAAAATGCCCTTCACATGACAATGTACACAACTGCTGAGAGCGGCTGAAGCTGTGTTTGTGAGGTCTATTACAAGATGAACCGGTAAAAATCAGTGCAAAATTGTTCCATCCAATTTTGTGTGCAGCTTGGCGAATCCACTACTGTGAGTTACAAAAGTTACAAATGTCTCATGGAGAACATTCCCTATCCAAGTCACGTGTGTTCAGATGGCGCAAGGCCTTTTGAGAAGGTTGAGAAAAAATGGAAGATGAACCTTCTGCGCGGAGACCTTCGGCCTCAGAAATGGATAACAACGTGGAAAGAGTGAGGATTCTTGATATTAGATCGAGTGACATTGAGAAGTTAAATTTGAACCAGTTTACCACCCATCTGATTTTAATACAGTATTTGGGCATGAGAAAGGTGCGCGCCAAGATGGTCCCAAAAAAACTCACAACTGAACAAAGGGTCAATTGGAGGGATGTGTGTATCTATCTTCTGAATTGTCTAAAGACGGAGCCTGTATCCTTCAGTTGCGCAGGTGATGAATCGTGGATTTCTGAGGACGACCCAGAGACCAAACACCAAAGTTGGGAGTGACACACTGCACACTGTCCCCATCCCAAGAAAGAGAGAATGAGCAAATCCAAAGTCAATTCAATGCTCATTTGTTTTTGAGCAGGACTCCATAAGGAATTTCTGCCTCCAAGAGAAAGTCCTTGAAAGGTTCAGGAAGAAGATGGCATATGTGTGACCAAGCACTGCACACATTTGGATGCTGCACCCTGTGACTTCTTTTTATTCCCATAGCTCAAACACCATTTGAAAAGGTGCCATTTTTGTACTCAGGATAATATCTAGAAGAATGTAACTGAGGAGGAGCTGAAATGCACTCCAGGGGAAGAATCGCTATGAAAAATGGAAACAATGCATCCATCACTGTGTAACTGTCCAAGGGAAGTATTACGAAGGGGATAGCCTTGGTTTGGTCATAGAATAAAATTCATGGTTAAAAGAACATCAGTCTCATTACTTTTCTGCCGTACTCCAGTATTCTTATTTATTTATTTATAGTATTTCTAGCCCACTTTTCTCAGCCCGAAGGCAACTCAAGGCGGCTTACAAAGTGGCAGCAATTTGATGCCATAACATCCATAAAATACAATTTAAAAACATTTAGCACAACATGATAAAAATCCATACAAAAACCATTAAAAACATATAATCACCAGTGTCTTCCTGTTAAACTCATTTTTCCAGTTGCATCAAAACTCTAAAAGATGGAAGAAACGGTTTGTTTGACTCACCAATCCAACCACTTGCGAACTTGGGCCAAAACAAGGGCTTGATGATGAATAGTTTCTAAATTTCCTCTTGGTGCCTAAAGAAAGATTCCACATAAATATGCAACCCATCCTGGGGGCATCATCAATGTCCAAAACCACAAGCCAGAAACAACCCCCTAACTCAGGCATGGATAAACCAAGGCCCATGGGATGAATGCGTCCCTTTGGGCTCTTTCCTCCGGCCCTCATCTGCCTCAGCCTTCCTCTTAGCCTGCAGACATAGGAGTGGCTGAGGTGAAAGGAGAGGGTTGTTGCATTTATGGGGTCAAACTACAGATGGGAGGAATGGTGCAGTTTTGAGTACTGTCCTATATCCTTTTTTAGAGAACCCTTAGAGGATAAAGATGTAGCCCCATTTCCCCCATGGACAAAGATGGGGAAATATTCAAATATGATCCATATAAGTGGAGATGTTCTACACAGAGAAATGTTCAGTGTAGCCCATTCCTATTTGAACCGTACACTCCACAAGATCTCATAATACAGTTTTTCTATTGGTATAGCCCAGTTATTTTTCTCTCATGGAACCCATACATTCATGTTGCCATAACTTGATTTGGACTGTAAACAAAGAGAAGGAACACCAACCTGCAATACTAGCTTTGTATCCTGGGGCACAATGGTGACTATCCGGCATCCTCTTTCAATCCTGCGCAGTGTCTCACTGTTTGGAGCAGAAGTGGTGACCAAGCTTGACTGCAAAGCTAAAGGTATCACAATTAATAGCATAAACTCTCCAAGCTTGTCTAAACCAGTAAAAATAACCTGGGTGCAAGCCACAATATTTTGCCCTGGATTCATCAATCTGTCCACACCACTGGCATGAGGTTGGTTTGCTGTCCACAGTTCCCTTGTCCAAATCTAAAATGGCACTGTTGTGTTGTTTTCTTGTTCCCAGGGCTGTTGCTGCTATTCTCCTTGCAAACACCTTCTCAGAGCCCCACTGGGTCTGGTATCAGATTGAGGCACTCGGCAATATGTGATTGGTGATGGTCGGGGGAGGGGAGAGCAATTGAGCAATGTCACCAGCAGGGCTCTGGGAAGATGTTTTGTTAGGAGGGCAGTGGTGGAAGCAGCCCCGGGGAGAGAGGAAGGCAAATCACTCTAGAGGAAGTACTGTATTTCACTGCATAATAGTCGTACCTCCAATTTTTAGGGAAATAGGGGTTGTGACTATTATGTGGTGAAAGATGGGCCTCTTTTGCCTTCCAGCAGCTGAAGGAGACCATATAATAGAGACCGAAGCTCTATAATATGGGAAATCTCCTAGCTCTTGCGCCTTCACCTGTCTGTGCACTTGCCCCTTAGAGCTACAGGGGCTGCGACTATTATGCAATGAATTTTTAAAAAAAATCTTAACCAGGATCCCAAAAAGGGGGGTGCAACTATAATGCAATAGTGACTATTACACAATGAAATACAGTATTTTATCAGAGAGGTGGCAACAGTTCAGGGCACCTTTATTGCACAAAACATTGGGAATGTTTACCTTTCAGAGACATGTTCTTCAGAGACACACACTGGCAAGTGTGTAAGTGGGTGGTCAACAAAAGAAACTCATCATGGATTGCAAAGGAAGTGACATTTGATGCAATCTGTGGAAAACAAGACACAGCCCCTCGGTCACTATATAGAATAGCACATGACTTTCACTGTTACAGAAAAATAAATAGACAAAAAGAGTAAAACAACTGGTACCTCTGTGTCATTAATAAAAAAACGACATCTGTCAGTCAGGCCGAAGATAGTCTCCTAAAAAGGCCAAATGGGGAAAAAAAGAGATAAAACAAGAAGATTAAAAAGGGAACATGTCACAATGTTATAGTCTATGCGCTCTACACTCACAATTAGATTTGTGCACCAATGTAATACAATTTCCCCTAAAAATTAGAAAAATAAAATCCATGACCTGCTCATATTACCCAAATATATATATATATTACAATTTGCACCTTACTACATTTGGAGGACCTATTTATTTGTCGTGTCAGGGCAACCAGTCAATTGTATTACATTTCTAACATTTGGAGGACCTGAAGGTGGTAGTGAATATGCTGGTAACCGCAAGGTTGGGCTTCTGCAATGTGCTTTACACTGGGCTATCTTGGAACCAAGTTTGAAAACTCCAATTAATTTAAAATATAGCAACAAGATGACATATATTTAAAGTGAGTGTAAAGCAGCTGTATTAAAATCAGTCAATCAGCTGCCAGTTAGTTTCTAGAAAAAGAACAAAATGTTGGCTGTAAAGGTTACTTACAGGATCACCTTCTACTGTAAAATCCATCACCCAGAGGACCTTTTTATCAGCCGCCCCACGACTGTGGAACAACCTGCTGGAAGAGCTCTGACAGCTAAATAAGCTGTTGGAATTTAAAATGCAATTGAAGATCCATATCTTCTGAAGATCTACTCAATCAACTTTCAATCATGAGTTTTGATTTACATTTTTATTGCAACTATATGTCAGTTCTTTATCTGTGTTTGGTGCAAGTTTTTTTTATATTTTTGTGTTTTTATTGATGTAATTTTTTTTTGTTTATATGTTTTTGACTTTGTTGTACTACATCTCAGGCCATCAGGTGTGGCGGGTATTAAATAATAATAATAATAATTATTATTATTCTAACACAAAAACACAGCATGTCACAGCAAATGAGATACATATGCTAGATTTCATATAACAAAATCACAAGTCGAACTTCCCAAGCATCTAGGACTGTGTGATGTATTTTTGAATGATGCGTGCACACCCAAGGAAGGTGGCCTTTTGCAGTTGACAGATTGTGATTTTGTCAGTGTTGTTTCCAAATGCCGGCTGAGATCTTTTGGCACGGCACCTAGTGTGCCCATCACCACTGGAACCACCTGTATTGGTTTATGCCAGAGCCTTTGTAGTTCGATTTTTTTTATATATATATTTATTGCAATTTTCATACATATACAAACATTAGAGATATTGGGATAAGGAAGTTCAGAAGTATAGATGGGAAGAGAAAAAGAGGGAAGGG